TGATTATATTGTTCAATAGTCTTTCTGTCTTGACAGTTCTTTGTTAAATGTGATATTTAAAATTCAACTTGGAGTTTAATCATACTTCTAATCATTTGACATTTACACTGAGTTTAATCTCTCTATTTAAAAGAGTTAGAGATAGTTCTTTCTCATTGAATCTAGAAAAGAAATGAATTAACTCAGTTTTATTCATATTAAATTGAATTTGATTGATATCTACTCTAACAAAGATTTCCTTTGCAGCTTCTTCAATTACTTTTAAATTCTCTTTGATAGTTTTTGAGCTGTAGACTAGATCAATATCATCCACATAACTTGAAGATCACACTATTCTCATATTTCTATTTTTGAATAGATATACAGTGTATATTGCAAATAAAATAAGTGAGATTGAAGATCTCTGTGATACTTCTATTTTTATCTCAGTCTTGTCTTATTTTATTTCATCAAAGAAGAGTTATATAATTCTTTTAGATATAAAACAGTTAACTCATTTTATTAAAGAAAGTGACAGTTTTAATATCTTCAATGTCTGAATTAACTTTGACTTTGAAACATGATCAAATACTTCTTTTATATCAATAAAAACTGCAGTTGAGACCAGACTCTCATGCTTTGCTATTTGAATATTATGAACAACTGAGAGAACAGTGTTAATTGCAGAACACTGTTTTCTATCTCTCATTTATTCACTGAATAAAAGAGAATCATCTATAGAGCTTATAAAAGATAGTTGAGTAGCTATTATCTTTTCTAAAACCTTTCCTAGACAGTTCAAAAGAGATATTACTCTATATGACTTAGAAATTGAAGTTTTTCTATTAGGTTTTGCAAGAATCACTTCAGTGACTTCTCTCCAGCATTCAGAATGATATTCATTTTTCAAGAGATTGAAAAAGAGCTCAAAATATTCATTCTTTAAGTAGGAATATGTATTTTGAATAATCAAGTGATTAATTGAATCAGGACCTGCAGCAGTTTTAACAGAACTTGAGAAGATAGCTGACTCTAATTCATCTTGTGTAAGATCAGGCCATTCTCAGTCATTTTCATCAATGTAGTTGAGAAGTGATATATTCTCTTCCTCTGAATCTGAATCTGAATCTGGTGAGTTCTGAAAGAGAATTCTCATGAAAGCTTGACATTTTTCCTCAAAAGAGTTTGCTGTATATGATTCATTCTGAAACTCACTACGGGCGCTAGCCACCCGCAGGATGCACCTTAAGCTAATTACATTTAACCCCCTATAATTAACCGACCACCGCGTCCGTCCTCTCGGGCCAGCCACTAATTTCCAGGGGTGTTAGTTAGTGGCTGCCACCGCCCACTTGGTGGTGTACACACCAAGCTTCCGGTTGCTGATCTCGGCCTCATTAGATGCCCATAGGCCTACCAATCAGCCGTCGTGGCCTCGCCCCATGTTAGGGACTAATCATAGGCTTGATGACTGCAGTCCTCCCTGCCAGTATTAGGGGTTGGCAGTGAGCTTGCAGGCACTAGCCTATCAGGGTGCCCTGTCTAGGGCCTAGATGTGTGTCTAGGCCTGCTAGTCAGGTGGTTTTCAAAATCATTCCCTGTATTTGGGGGGGAGCTAGGCTCTGATGGCGGCCCTAGTTAGGGACTTGCTTAAGTAGTGTATAACCACTACATTAGGCTTGACTCTATATCATTAGAACCTTGACAGGTGCACAGTAGAATAGTGGGACATTGACCCCCCATGCCGGCCCTGGTGGGTGTTCGCAGGATCTCGCTTAACTAGTGGCTTGGCTTGCAGTAGAGAGTTCTACCCCGCACCAAGCCTTACTAATTAGACTCAGCCCCTATTACATGGGGGCTTTCATGGGTAAGAAGTGGCAGGTGCCAGCGGTGGGATTCGAACCCACGCACCCCTAATGTGTGCGGCCTTGGTTACCAGTCTTACCAACTGGGCCACGCTGGCGAGTTATCATCTTTATCCTGAGTTATCATATGAGCATTCAACAGCCTGAGTATTATGATTATCAGTATCATGATTATTGATATCATGATTATCAGTATCTTCATTGTTTTAACATTGATATTAGCAGTTATAGTTATAATTATATCTGTGACATTGTTAATATCATGAATTATAATTATATTCATGATATTGTTGATACCACAGAATTATGATTTTAATTATGATTATGATCTTGTGAAATCTGACCTCCGAATCCACAGCATTTTCAATATTAATATTATTATTAACATTGTTATTGAGCATTATTATCAGGATTTTTGATGTTCTTATCATTCATTCAACTGAGTAATATACTGTCTCAGAATAGCAGCTTCATTACAGTCTGTTATATCTTTGTGTTCTGAAGAATTATCTTGAGCTTGATTATTCTTGTTATCTTCATATGATTATTGATGTTGAAAAGAATTCAGCTATCTGATTCTCTGAAATCTCTTCACAGTTGATCAATCTTATATTGACAGGCATTTGATATGAAGTATTTGAATGAAAGAAGCAGCTATTTGAAAAGCTTATTATATGATTATTACATGATTATAACACTTTGTAAAAGTGCAAGAACTTCATAACCTGTGAGAGAGGTTGAACATGATTGATTGTTGTTATCTAACTAGTAGCTAGTGAAAGCTAAATATATGTCTGTGAGTCACATGAGTTAGGGCTTGTGTAGTAGCTTCAATAATAGAGACTGAGTCTAATTAGTAAGGCTTAATGCAGGGTAGAACTCTCTACTGCAAGTCAAGTCACTAGTTAAGTGAGATTCTGTAAACACTTATCAGAGTCAGTATAAGATGTCAATGTCTCACTATTCTACTGTGCATCTGTCAAGGTTCTAACAATATAGAGTCAAGTCTAATATAGTGATTATACACTACTTAAGTAAGTCTCTAACTAGAGCTGTCATCAGAGCCTAACTCTCTCTCAAATACAGAGAATGATTTTGAAAATCACCTGACTAGCAGATTTAGACATGTATTTAGACTCTAGACAGAGTACTCTGATAGGCTAGAGTCTGTAAGCTCACTGTTAAGCTCTAATACTGACAGAGAGAACTGCAGTTATTAAGTCTATAATTAGTCTCTAACACAGAGTGAGATTATGACAGCTGATTAATAGATCTATGAACATCTAATGAGACTGAGATCAGCAACTGAAAGCTTGATATATACATTATTAAGTGAGTGATAGCAGTCACTAATTAATATCTCTGGAAATTAGTAACTGGCCTGAGAGAACAGACGCGGTGATTGGTTAATTATAGAGAGTTAAATATAATTAGCTTAAGATGCATTCTGCGGGTAGCTAGTACTTGTAGTCACCTGTTTTATTTGCAATATACACTGCATATCTATTCAAGAATAGAGAGATGAAAATAGTGAGATCTTTAAGTTATGTAGATAATATTAGTCTACTCTACAGTTCAAAGACAATTAAAGAGAATTTAGAAGTAATTGAGAAAGCAGTAAAGAAAATCTTTATTAGAGTAGATATCAATCTAATTCAATTTAATATGAATAAAACTAAGCTAATTCACTTTTTTCCCAGATTTAATAAGAAAGAACTAAGTCTAACTCTTTTGAATAAAGAGATTAAACTCAGTTTGAATGTCAAATAACTAGAAGTATGATTAAACTTCAAGTTGAATTTTAAATATTATATTTAACAAAGAATTATCAAGACAGAGAGACTACTGAATAGTATAATCAGACTATTAAATACTGAGAGAGATCTATTCTTTCAGGCTATAAGATAGTTATACATAGCCTGTATTATCTCAGTAGCTGATTATAAAGTTCAAGTTTGATGAAATAATTAAGATAACTTCACTGAACTCTTTCAAAGTCTATAAAACAGAGCTTTGAGAAGAATTCTGAGAGTATTCAAGTCATCTTCTATTAAAGTAATGAAAATTGAAGCTTCAATTTCATCTTCTGCTATTCAATTTGAAAAGGCCTGTATGATCTATGCTCTGAGAGTTATAAAGATAAGCTTAAATCATATAATCAGAGAGGGAGTCTCTTCTTCATTTTCATCAGTTAACTCAGAAAATGAACTGAATTGAAATAGATTTCTTAATTGAAATGAGAATAATACTTTAAAGAAAATGCTCTCTCAACTGTATAGACTATATTCACTTATTAAGAATTAATTTTCTTCATTAAATGTTGAGAAAATTAATCATGAGAAGATATCTCTTTGAAGAGAAAAGCTGGAATCTCTCATAGACTTATAAATAAGTGAACTATCTAAAGAGAGAGAATATAAACAGCATTTGAAGAAGATCTCTATAATTAATATAAAAGACTCTATTCTGATTTACTCAGATGACTTAAAAAATGAGAATTTAAATAGATTAGACACAGGCATTGCTTATACTGAAGATAATATCAATTTTATCTCAGATTTCTGAAATTTAGACTGTGAATCTGAAGTCTTTGATGCTGAACTATTTGTAATAGTGAAAGCTTTCAAACTCATTGAAATAAAATCTTATAAAAGAGGAAATAGTTTGAAAGAGATATGAATATTCTCTGATAGTCAAGCTGCTTTAAAAAGACTTAGAAATAGTCAGATTCATAATAATCAAATAAATCTTGAACTGATTTTAAACTCAGTTTTGAAAATTCAAAAGAGAAGAATATTAAAACTGATAATTCATCTGCATTGAGTTTCTGCTCATATGAATATTCATGACAATGAATTGACTGATTCAGCTGTGAAAAAGAGTTCAGAATTAAGCAGATCTATTCAAAAAACAGTGTTCTGATCTTTCATAAAGAGAAAGATAAAAGAATCTTATTTAAACAAGTGAAATGAAAGCTGGCAGAAACAAAAGAAGAGCATACATTATTCAAGATTTGAGATAAAATCAAAGTGGAAATCTTGTTCAATTAAATGTAAAAAGAAAATATTCTCATCTATAATTCAGCTGAAACTAGAACATGGTTATTTCAAATCCTATATACAAAGATTTGATGATAGATTTGATTCAACAGAGTACTCATTCTGCAATGTGAATGAAAATTCTGAGCATATTATAATGTATTGTGCATTATACAATAGTCTCAGAGTCAGATTAAAGAAGAAGTATGATTTAAATTAATTAAATATAAGGTTCTTATTCTCAACTAAGACAGGAATTAAATACTTAATAGACTTTCTATCAGAAACTAAAGCAGTTATAAGAAAATGACTGAATTCAGAAGTATCTGAATATGAAGAAGTGGAAATTGATTAGATATAGTCTGTTAAAATAGCTATACATCTAGACTGACTGTGTGACCGTGTCTGAGACCAGGATCAAACTTTACAGTTATCATATTGTCTAAAAGCATTACTTCTGATCATGGTTTGTATTCATCACATTGATCTCAAATCATGTTATTTCAAATATTAAAGATCTCAGATTCACTTTTCAAATAAAAATCTAGTCTCAGATAAAGAATATATTTGAATTCTTAGTCACATTTTCATTCTGATTTCATTATTGAGAATGATATTAAATGAGACTATGAAATCATTTCTCACTTATATAATATCATAATATAGTGCTCATTTGTTGAAAATTCAATAGAGAGTATTATCAAATATTGTTACTTTTCTGAATATAGATTATAATTCATATAATTTTAATTATGAAAAAAATATAAAATACAAAAAAAAACAAAAAACAAAAAACAAAACAAACACAAGAAAAAATCACAATAAAAAAAAAAAAAGAAAAGAAAAAGAAAAAAACAAAAAATAAAAATAAAAAAAAATCAAGATCACAGAGTTACAGCATTCTCAAAATACTCACTTCTCAGAGTCTTTACAATGTTCATCATCAACTGTGAATCTCTCACAGTAAGAATAACACTGTCATGATGAATCATTGTCTTAACATTATCTAATAAATAATCAGTATATATCTGTATAAATGTGAATAATTAGAAAACATACACTTAAAAAGTGCGGCCAGGGTGGACTCTGCTGTCACTTGAATAACATCAAGAACAGAACACTGAAATTGATAATTCTTCTCATTGATTTCACAGACAAGGCGCATGAAGATGATCTTGAGAAATATAAGATTTCTCAACTTCTGATAAAAACAGATCTCACAGAGAGTAGACTGACCGTGTGACCGTGTCTGAGATCAGAATCAGAATTTTTGATAGTTTCATTGCCAATTCGACAGATCTCATTACACGGTTCTAATATTAGATAGTAGTCTCATACTGTCTCAGTGAGACTTACTGTCTACTCTTATCACATTTTTCAAATGAGATCATGATTTCCACTTCTCAATTTAAATTATTTTTATTGCTTTAAATGACTTTAAATCTCATTTGAGTGTTATCAAAAAGTGTTACTTTTTAAAAAATTAAAAATAGTCTAAAAAAAACCTTAAAATGTCTAAAAATAGTAACTTTATGCCAAGAATGAGACTAAATGAAATCAAATGAGATCACTTTCTCATTTTTTTCAAGTCATGGTTTCATTTTAAGATCTGATATATAGTCACTTTACATGTTTATTTAATGATTAGTCCCAGCGGGATTCATGCCAAGAAATGTATGAGATCAGATCAAATGAGACCAAATGTGAAATTCATAGTCCCGGCGGCCAGTCTAACAGAGAGACTCTATTTTCATGATATCAGAGACTGAGTGTTATCAAAAAGCATTACTTTCATGTAATGCACATACACTTACTGCAGTAATTCACTCTCTGCATATATAACTGAGAGTTACGGCTTTTTCACACTGCACAGCTCTCTCTGAAATGCTGCTATCAGTTTGCAACTCACGCAGTCTCTCAGTCCAGCATGCACTGTGTGTATGCAGTCCTGCATGCTGGGGCCATGTTAGTCATTATAGTCTGATGTGATACTCACTTTTCATGAGTCATGTTTCATTTGAAAGAGAGAGAAAAAGACACAACTATTGTTTTATTAAGAGAAGAATGAATAATTAGTATTATTGAATATAATTTAATTCATCTGTATTTAAAATTTGATTAGTCTATACTCTTCAATTTGAGAGTTTCTATAAGTATTTTAATAGTTTTCATACCAGCTTGAACTTAGTGATGAATTGAAGAAGAAGAGAAAAGAGAGAAGAAAGAAATAAGAATAACTTATCTTTATAATATAAAAACAGAGAATCACTGCAATCATTCTTCTTAGCAACAAAGATCTGTTTTCTGCATGTATTTCTGATATAGATTATATGATAAATGTATATAAAGAATATCAATAGTGTATGCATTGAATAAAGATAATGTTGCTATATAATACTATAGCTGTTTCTATACATCTCTGAAAGCTGTTAATAGTTTCTTTATCTCTTTATATTTAATAAGTTAATAATATATTCTGATGCACTCTCTCTTTCATTATTATCATCATTATTATTATCATCATTACTATTATTATCACTATTATCATTATTATCATTATTATTATTATTATATCATTGCCTGTTTTTACTTCTTCTTCAACACTTATTAAAATCAATCATGTCATCTCTCTTTAAATATTCTGCAGTCCTGCGGATCATCAAGGCATGTAAGCACTGTCACAGATTGAAGAGAGAGAAGAAGAAGATGTTCAAGCACAGAGAGACAGATTGCAAGACATATTATAATACCTTGAAGAGGCTCTGTAAAAGAGTAGAATAATAATGATTTTAAGTAACACTTCTGATAGATTTAGACTGAACTAAGTATAGAAATAATCTGAATGACACTGCCTGTGAGAGATTAAAAAAGAAGACAGTGAAGAGTCTCATGCAGTAGTAATGAGATTAGAAGAAGTTCTGAGAATAATTTAAGATCAAGATAAAGAGAGAGAGAAAGAAGAAGAGTATTACTATAAATAAGTAGCAGCAGAAGAAGATTAAGAAGATATTAAAGTGAGAGACAAAGAAGTTAAAACTGATAAGTTTTTTATTAAGAGATAATAATTTTTGATAACACTTCTGTTCTCTAATTGATTAGCAGAAGCTGGCAGAGAAGAGAATTGAGACCTTGTTCAGATCTTGAATGCACTTTATAATTCAGAATATTGAGAAGACAGCTCTGCTCTCTGAGCATGCTAATCTGCTTACTGCTGAGATGAAATCTGAGACAGTAGATCAGAAAATGCGGGATTTTGAGATACAGATTGATCTGACTGAGAGAAAGCAGTGAGAACTCTTCTCTAAGAAGGTAGCAGAGAGAGATTTTAAGATGATTATTATCTCAGATAAGAAGAAGAAGAAGAAGAATAAGAATAAGAAGTGAATTATAAAGAATAATGAGAAGAATAAGAAAGAGAAGAAAGATAATAAGTAGAAAAAGTTTTTTTCTTTTTATATTAGTTAGTTATAAGTTTGTAACTATTAGTTAATAATTGAAATTAATTTTGAGTTTTCAAAAATTATTGTACAAGTTGTAATCAATTATCAATGTCAGAAATAATATATATTATATATTCAACTATTATATCACTATAATGTATAAATATCAACATTTTTTCAACATTGATATTCATAATATTAATATATTTTTAATAATATCATCTGATAACATAATTTAATAACACTCTCTTTTATAATATTAATATATTTCAAGAAATATGACAGAGATTAATCAAGATTGTTTATTTACTTTTATACATTAATGATATTCAATCTGAGTTAGTACTAAAATTATAACTAAGCTAAGAAAGAAGATTATTTTCTCTTATATTAATTCTTCTTACACACATCAGTGATCAGTTATTAAAAATAAATTATCATCTTTCTTAAATTATTATCATATCTTCTGAATTCACTTCTTTCACTTCTTTTACTTCTATTGAAGATTCATAAACTCTTCAAGAAATCACTGTAAATCACAAAGTCTATGTTGTTTATAATTTAATACAGAATGCTCTCTTTTAATTATAATGAATAATCACTTCATTCTTCACATCTGATTTCAGGTCATGAAATTTATGAAAAACTCAACACAAACACTGAGATGAACTATGAAATAATTATTAACAGATTGCATTGCAGATTACTGAAGAGTTATCTCTCTGTTACAATCACTGTAACTTCATTCAGAAACATTTATTATAAACTAATTATAACTCTGAAGAAATTTTCTGACATCTGAAGTCATCAGAATGCAGACAATAAAAGAAAAATAATCAGAAAATTACTACTGAGCTGATAAGTTACTCTACTAGATAATGATTTTTGATAACACTAACTTTCTAATTTGAAGAAAATTATGTAAAAATGATTATATATCAGTACTCTGATTTCACAACTCTTATCTGATAACTTCTGTGAATAATTACTTCATATGTATATATCTCTGAATCTTTCTCTTTAATCAATTGAAAACCCCGAATTCTAAACACTTCTTCAAATGCTTAATTCAAATCTTTATATTTCACATCAATTCTGTCTTCAGTTCAATCTTGAGATATACTATAAAGTTAATATATAATATCTAGAATCAGAGTTGAAGAATCATCAAAGAGTATCTCTCACAGTGAATGCATAAACTAGTATAAACAATCTTACATTTATAAGAGTTACATGTTATTATATTGATGAGAACTGAACTTATCAAGAGACATTAATTGAATTTGAATTATTAATCAGTAGTCATACTGAGAATTATATGACAGAGATATTAATGACTGTGATTAAAAATGACTATTGAAATATTAGTCTTAGTCTTCTTATAATTACAACTGATAATGCTGTGAATAACTACACTATGATAAACAGCTTGAAGTAAAAATTGACTTTGCATTTCTGAAATAATAAACAAGGTCATATTTTCTGCATTGCTCATGTGGTTTAACTTGTGATGTAAACACTGATAAAGAATCTTAACATCAAGATAAAGAATAATGAGATGACTGATTCTTGAGATGAGAATGAGATAGAAGTAATTACTCAAGTAACTTTTACATTCACTTTGTAAAAGATAATGTTTTTTAACAATACTTTTTAATATTGCTTTTTAATAATGCTTTTTGATAACACTACTGTTAATTTTGAATAGATTAACTAATAATTTAAATATCACAGATTCAAAACATTGTTAATACAATTTGTACCTTCTCTAAACAATAACAATAATTTCATGATATTCAATAAATAAACAAATCAGTCATATCACTGAATATGATACAGAATGTTAAAACATAATAAAGTTTAATATATGAGATAACTGTTCAGACTCTTCAATTATATCAGATAATTAATTATTGAGTGCAACACTCTGATCAGAAAAAGATTCAGATATTGAAACTTTCTGATATAAAGTAAACTCAGTTGAAATATATGATTGATTTACTGTTTCAGTTTTATAAGATAACAAAGACAGTCTTAATCACTTATACATCAATACTGCAGTCAGTCTGATCAATATATAACAGTTTATTTACTTATCTTGAGAAGCAGTTGAATCACTTAAAAAGAAATTCAGTCTGAGATAATGCTATAGTGCAGACTATTATTGCTGCAAGGAATAAACTAGTATATTATTACAGCAAAACTGAACAATCTTTTGCAGAGTACTATACTGTAGTAGCTCTACTAGATCTCTCTTATTAAGTTAATATCTACACTTCTCAAGATTAAACAGAGAAGAAATGAGACTTATATGTCAAATTAGTCTGAGACTACTATAATATCAACTATCAGAGATTTGAATGAGTAGATATTTAAGATATGAAGATAGTGAAATATAATTCTCTAGTAAGTAACAATCTTTGATAATACTTCATATCTCATAGAACTATAATACTAACTTTGAAACAGAACTTGTATATATTAATTACAACTGAAAATCAGGTAAAACTACATACTTATAAAACTGAATTTGACTGCTATCTTCAAGATAATCTGATGAATTTACACATTAAATCAATTCTAGAGTTATGAAAAATTGTTGAGAGTACATATTCAACTGTTGCACTGATGACATGTGATATTCTGACAATTTCATTGACAGAGATGAGAATGAAGTGAAAGTTCAACTTAAGTCAAGATATTTATCACTATTACTGAGAACAAT